TGAGAGCAATAAATGAACCAGCATGGCTGGATACCATCATCTCATTCTAATATAACTAATTCTGAATGAGGTCAATCTCTTGGGTCCCTTCCATTGAGGTATCTTAGGGTGCGTTTATCATCCCTTTTCTGGCCTACAATCGGCGTTTTTTTAAACGTGTTTCAGGCAAATTTGCATGGTGATAAACGCAATCCTGTTTTCAATCGTCTGTAGATATGGGCATATTGAAATGCCAAAAAAGGTGCGTTTTGAAAGTGTGAATGAGCAAGAATCACTTTTCTGAGAGATGATAAACACAAAGCTGTTTATAAACACACATACATATCGGACCTTCCCAGGCTAATTTCCGGTTCAGAGAAATAGCCCGCGCCGTGTGCTGTGCCCTAGTTGACCTCGGGAGCAAATCGCTGCTTCCTGGGTCAAACGGCGTATAGTAGTTGCGCAGAGACAAGGCCTTTATTTTGAATCGTGATAAGTTGATAAATGTGACATCCGGCAAATCACGTTCCTATAGTGGGGTTCGATATGTATGTATAGAAACACTGTTTCTGAGTGACAAAAGATGATAAACGCACCCATAGAGATGTTTGCATGGGTTGATCTTATTTGAAAAGAGATAAACTAATATACCATCATCTTCTTGTTTTTCTTCAATATCTTGTGGTGACATAATATGTTTTAATAATAATTTGTTATTCCTTGTATTTCCACGCTGCACAGACAAAAACATGTTTGGTCATCATCATTGTTTGAAAGTGAATGAATTAACTTTCAGCTTGTTAATCATTTTCAAAAGTATACAATCTATCAGTTCAAATTGGATTTCAAAATAAAAAGTTACTTGTATATTATCTAGTTTAATACAGTCAGTTGTTTGGAGGAAAAAAACAGAAACATAGTATAGGCTTATATATCCTTCAAAGGTCTAAACTCTAAAAGCAATAAGCACAATACAAGCAGCTGCAAGAATTATTGGCAATAGCGCATATTAAAGTTGCCAACTACAATAATCCTATAGTCCACATTCATAGATATTAGATCATGAATTGTAAAAGAAATGACAGTAAAACCTTGTCATATGTTATAATATAATTTCCTATATGGGTCAGTGTAAATTGTTTCATATACCTTTTAAATAACAAAGGTTGTGTCATACATATGATGAATAAATAATAAATTCTTACAAAAAAAATTCTGACTAAAAAATAACAATGTTCACATCCACATAATGTAAAATATAGATTGTTTTACTGAGAGAGGGAGATCAGTTTGAATACAATAGATTATAACTAGGGAATATGACTTATTTATTATACTATTAATAGTTCACACATTATGACTAGCTGTGACACTGTTATCAAATGAAAGATTAATATTTATGACAATATATTGATCTTGAATGTCATTTTCATAAGGAGATAATATTCATATCAATTGATTTTTCCCATATAACATGCTGGTAACAAATATTTAGCAAGTGTGGTAACTTTTCAAAAAATTTAATCAAAATCGGACAATGGAACCGAATCAACAAAAAACATGACACAGGTTTCAGTGAAGGAGACAATTTACTTAATTTCTTTTCTCTATTTATAAAAATTGAACCGTGAAGCTAATAAACTCACACATAAAAATCGTTTTATTTTGAAAATATCTGGTATGTATGCCTATACAAGACAAGACCACTTGATATTTGCTTTATACTAGTAGTATGTGATTCATTCAAATTGTCTCTCCCTCTCTCTCTCTCTCTCTCTCTCTCTCTCCCTCTCCCTCCCCCCCCCCCCCCCCCTCTCTCTCTCTCTTTCACACCCTGTCAACCCCCTCCCTCCCTCTCTCTCTCTCTCTCTCTCTTTTTCTCTCTCTCTCTCTTACTAAAAATACGATTACATATTCTACTGCACGTCATATTTATAGGTACAGCAGCCTATTTACTCTAAAGCTTCTCTCTCTGTCTCTCATCCACATGACAGATTGAATAATAAAATTGAATGAGTATTTAATACGCAGCGGTCAAACTGTTGAACAAGATGAATATCAAAGGTGAGGTATGTCTACTAATGTTTCTTTCACCTGGACTTAGTCTATCTTCAAGCCCAACAGAATTGTCAGTCTGAAAGGGCGAAAGAGCTATGAGACAACACAACCTCATGACTATCTGAGAGATGTTTTTGCACCATCAATTTCAAGCACTACAAGGCTTTAGAGTAAATAGTCTGCAGTTCCTATAAATATGACCTGCAGTAGAATATGTAATCATATTTTTAGTGATTGACTTTGCGCTCATTGAGTTCTGTTAATGAGCAGAAATAAATAGCATGACATTTTTTTCATATTAGATATTAGGTCTACAAAAGAACAAGATAAACAATAAGTGATTTTTTTTTTTTTTTTTGGGGGGGGGGGTTTCATTTGCAGCGACTTGTCTAATTTAATCCTGTACAAAACAACTGATCTACCAGTTCAGATTTCTTAAATGGGTGTCAGCTGACATGAAATAAAACATCATAAATTATCCAATTTTGAGATCTTCACTAAATTCCATCCTTGCAAATATAAATAGTGTGCAATGTACTTATGTATCTCTTCATAGTTAGAAATAATCTTAAAATAATTAATAAAACTATCTGTGAATCCCTTCATTAGAGATTTAACCAATGAAAAATCGGCAAAAGCAACTATAGAAACAAGACTGATAGAGCAGATTTGATCTGTAATGCTAGAAACTGCTCTTTTAAGGTCAGCATCCATACAAGCCCTATTCATGCTTGGAAAGATTCTCAAACCTGTGTTTGTAAATCACAATTACAGTACAATAAATATAAATTTAGTTAATCATGATGCAAGGTCTAGGTAATTCATGTTAACCAATAGGAAAACATTAACCCTAGTCTAACTTCCTTTATATAATGACTTTCAATAAAGTATGCAAACCTTCCTCAGGGGTGGGCCTTGTGTACAAAAGAGGAAATCTTGGATAGTTGTTTATAAACAGGATAGAACATAATATACACAAATATACCTACAAGAAACTTGTTTTTGATAGAAACAGTTCTGGTGCATTGTGTTTGGGTTCAAATTGTCATGATGGTTCTATGTTACATTGCTCCGGCAATGATTGCTATGGGCTTGAGTTCATCAAAGATGTAGGATTAGGGTTAGAGTTGCAATTGAGGTTCAGGTTTGGGTTAATTAAGGGTTAGGGTTAGGTGAAGTGCTTGGTCTATGTTTGAAGTTAAGAATTCAGCAGCAGAAGCTGCATTTACACTATAAGTAAAAAACATTGGTTATTCTAACATTCCAAAGTTATGTTGAAAGTTGCTGGGCAACGTACTACCCACATAAACGCGAAGAAAAAACCCTTAAAACAGTTACTGTCCCTCGAACCAGTAAACAGATAGGTGATAGGGCCTTTTCTGTTACTGCCCCCAAAACCAGCATGTCAGGCAGTTCCAATCATTTAGTAGTGTCCACACACCAAGCGCTCATTTACTCATATATCTTCCACAATTTAATGTTTAATTGGCATATCAGCTGATTCTTTATGAGATTTCTCTCATGATTAATGATAATGATAACAACAGACAACAATGACAACAGTACTAATAAGATGAAGATGATGATGAAGAAGAAGAAGATTTCGTATTCTGCTATATGATGATTGGCTTAATAATAATATGTAAAAAGTACAATATTTGTTTATATTACTTTTCAGTTCATTGTTCTTTTATTATAACAGAGAAAGATTAACACTGATAAAAAGAGCGAATTTAAAAACCAATTTTCCAATGAAAAATTAAGATTGTCATTCAAATCTCACTATTCTTTGTGTTGTTGTTGTTGTTTTCAAAGGAAATAACAATGGTAAGTTGTTGTTCCCTTTGTGGGGGATAGAACATTTGTTTTCATAAACCATGTGTGAAAAGGTGCAAAAATGTGAACAGGTGCAAAACGTGAGATTTTCACCTTGGTTTGAATTTTCACTTGTTTTAGTGTGTGAAATGGGTCTGGGGGAGAACACCTTCTCAATGTAGTCACATTCATCCCACCGACAAGGAGAACAATGATTTCATTCAGGTACCATTCAATAGCAACCGTATGTTTAACCTTCTAACAACAAGAGCGCAATCCAAACTTCCAAGATTTAAAGAAGAACAAATCTTTATCTTCCTAGTACAAGGATTTACCCCTATTGGGAGTTTCACTACTGAACATGTTCATAGCACATATGCATGAAGGACAGTTATGTATACCCTTACAATACTTGTACACAGTGCTATGTCAATGTCATATCAATGTGTACATACAGTTACTAATGCAAACAAAGACATGTGTTGAATGATAGTAAATTTGTTTTCAACAAGGAGTGAGCTAGTTATATAAATGACATTTAGACCTACCAGGATTAAAGGGAGCTGAGATGGCTCAGTGGTAGAGCACAGTAGTTAATCAGTCCCCTTGCCCTGGCTGCTTATTTATATGGATGCTTTCTATACAGTCAGGTCCCATGTTCAATGAAAGCAGAAAATCAGATAAAGTGATTGATGAAAATTTAAACAAAAACTGACAAACAATAAGGAAGTTAACAATTCTTGAATGATGAGATCACCGTAAACTCTGTGGATATCACTGTGATATATCGTCAGACAACTCTCGCATTTGCTCCCATTCACAGATGACTCAAAGACTTCAAAATTGTATAGAAAAGGAGGATTTCTTTCAATTTTTAGGGGGCATATATCTTGAGTGCAGTCCTTAGGAAAGTTGCTTAGAGGACATTGTGATGGATTAGTGACAAGCAAATGTTAACCGACTAGTTTGTCAATGTGAAAATGCATTTATATAGAGAGATCTTGTCTTACAAACATTCATTACTTTCATACAATTTATCCAAATTCTTTCAGAATGTCTTCAAACTATTTCTATGATTTTCTGTGTTGTGTTGTAAAAGGATTAGATTCTCAATATTACAGAATAGAAAATATAGATCAAGAACTTACTTCTGTGTTGCTTAGGTGATCTATACTGTGGTAGCATATTTCTCATCCATCGTGGTAACGATAGTCTATTTTCACTTGCTTCTACGTGTGCTGTATTCAATACCAGGTACAGACACAAACATAGAGATACGCCTCTCCAAACGGTCCTCAGCATTGCCCCATCCATACTGATGTATCTTCTATCAAGTCTTAATATTTGTACAACAACAAACTTCCTGCAGTACCTGGATCTTTCACAGGAGACAATTCATGGAATGAAATATTCACATGTTCATAGCACTCATCTCCTAAAAATAAGGAGGAAAGCCCCATATGTAGCTCAATAAATGAATGCAGCAGCAAAGTCATTAAGTTTGGGACGTACTTGTAGAATGACACATTCTCCACTCTTTTGTTTTCAAACTTGATTGAGTTGAAATGCAATTAGGTGAATCAGGTGTACAAATCAAACAAGTCTTGATAAAGTTCCTTTAATGCACCTTTGATGAGAGGGTGTGGTGACACTCAGTCTTGTCCCTGTCCTCTCTATGGCTTGTTCTGACTTCTCTACCAAAGCAACCAACCATCAGCGAGAGAGAAAGGGAGAGAGGGGGATGCCATCCACTCGGATAGCTCTTACAAGGCTCAGTGCAAATCTGGAACTCGTTTGAAGAGTAGTCGCTACTCAGCTTGATATCAATACAGGCTGGTTCACTGGCCTTCTCACATCACCCACAGCCTGGCTGCATGCATGAAGCCAAGCTACCATACACTCACAATCAAAGATGCTTTCAACCGACGACGACCAAGGAGATAAATAGTACATTTAGCAGCTCACAAAAGTTCTCATCGAACTGGACAACTGGGATTGTGAGAAGTGTTCAATTGGGTGGCAATATTTATATCAAGTCATTGGGTTAGGACAAACAGGAGAAATCAAAACAACTAAAAAATTGAATTGAAGTGAGAAATGGGACCTGGTGTTCAAATATACAGAATATATTTCAGTAAACTCAATCTCTTGCCATGTATGTAAATCATATCTTTGTGACTGTGCCAAGGAAAGAACACATTTGGCAATGTCTATCTAACTGCCATATATAGTAAGTGGGAGACCAAATAAGCACCTTTGTACCCCTATATACAAGTGGAATTCTTCCAACACTGTTTATTCAATAATATCTCTTTCAAAAACATGGAGTACAAAGTGCAATGTTCACATACTCTTTAAGACCATTTCTATACTTTACTAGGTCTGCACTTTCTAATGAATAATTCATTTATGTCAGCCAATCACAGTCTTCTATCACCAGAGTAATTCTTTCTTTCCAAACCTTTTAGGAACTGAGCATAGGTCATCTGTCCAATCACACCCTCCCCCTATACAGATTGTACTCATTATACTAAACAGGGGTGTCCAGGACAAGTTTTGTGAGGGACTGTTCCAGTAAGCCTTTGAATAGTCTGTGCGGACAGACTTCATTTGGGTAGATAAATAGAGGAGCCTTGAGCTTAGGCTTATTTTTTCAGGCACAAGCAGTGCCACAGAGATGGCTACGACTATTTGACTAGGACAATGATCGTAAAGAGCTAGTAAGGACTAAAGGTCCTGCGCCTGCAAACTAGCATTGAACAACTGTCTCTGAATTAGTTGATGTTTTCTTCTATAGCAGACTAAAACAAGAGAACAAAGGTACAAGTTTGTTAGATCTAACCAGGGTTCAGGTTATATCTGTCAGGAGTACAACAAGGATACATTGTTCAAGTGAATGATGATCTAGGGACCAATATGGTAAAGCCTGCTTGATTTCCCATGGTACCTTGTTAACTCCAGCCATGTCAAGAAATTGCTATCTTTCTTCACATCCATCTTCCACATGTACTCTTCTTTATTACTATGTCATAGCAAGGAATGTATGTAGGACATCATTGAAGGAAAATCACTTGTCACTAATTAAAGACCCATCTAAATTTGAAACCCAATAGTATTCAACATAAAAAGGCAAAGGTCATTGTAAGGCCCCTCTTTTTCCATATCTTTTCAACCTCCATGGTTTCATGCCAACATATAGCCCAGCATCATAGGGGCAACTGCAACTCCATTTTGGCAGCATACTATACTTGTACTACTTATATTATCTTATCATATTTACCATATTTTGTAGAATGAGCCTAAGATTCATATAGCGTTTAGAGACTTCGGTGGTAAGCGCTTTATAAGCACCGTTTGTATTATTATTATTATTATTATTACTGAATATGTGGATGAAGCTTCTCATCAGTACCATTGTTATTGAATAAAGTCCTATCCAGCAGTTAAACTTTATTGTTACCATTTCTGAACAACCGACAAACTTTATTACAAAACACTCTCGTGAATAAAAATAAAATAATATTATTATTAATAGCAGAAATGATAATAATCATCAAAATTCAATATACAATACCACTAATAATGATAATGACAATAATGATTGTTATAATGATTATGATAATAATAATAGTAGTAGTAATAATAATAATAATAATAATAATAATAATAATCTTTATGATTTTGTTAAACACAAGTTCATCAAATAATCATTTACATTCCAAACATTTTTTCTTCTTTCACATATTGCCTATATCATCTACACAGAGAGCAAGATAGATGTTAATTCACACTGACTCCTGGCTCCCAACATACGATATCTTGTAAATGGAAACACGTAAGCCCTAGGTGTTGAGTGGAGCTCTACCGTGTTAAGTGGAGTTCAGTGTTAGCAACATTCTTCTGACTCTCTACTCCCTGCTGGAAACAAGTTCCAAGAATCGTAATCTGACACATTTCACATGCACGCTCGTTCACATTTTCTAAAAGTTGACGATTCCTCATTTTTTACTGCTTTGGGTACAAATTTCACATTCTGTTGGTGTTATCAGGAATGTTATAATTTTGGGCTACATTTTCTGTAGATTTGCCCACCTTCAGAGTTATTGTCTACTTTCAACAATGGCCATTTCGGTGCTTTTCTGCAAGTTTTCAATAGTTTTTTTCAATGTGGTTTTCCTACACTTAACTATAGCATATACTTTTTACCTGATAACAATTCATAATTATTTCTTAAAGTGTTTTCTTAAAACTAAACCACTGATTAGTACTTCAAAACTGGCTTCAAATGCCCATGGTTACTGTGAAGTCCACAAGAAAAGAGACCATCTTTCACTTGCTTGTTTGATTGTTTTATATGACTGCTAAGAAATCATGTGTATGATTGTAAGTAATCAACTCGAGGACCCACGACTTTAAGTCCTCTCTGAGGGACTTGGTAATGAGAATTAATGCCTTACCAAATGGCACTAAAGCGCATCAACTTGGTTTGGAACCCTGGACCTCTCGGTTACGAGACCACTGCTCGACCACTGAGCCATCATACCTCCTCACTCAAGTAAGCCTCTCTCTGTAATATAGACCATACTTTTTCTATCATGGCTGGTACGTTGCTAGGAAGCATAGCTCATTAGTAGGCTGTCACCAGCATGCACACATTTGGTTTTCATTAGGCCTGTTTTCATCAGCTTGAGTTTGCCAAATAACCCGCTATTTTAACTATTCCGATCACAAATTAACCAGTTATTTTGCGTCTTCAACAGCCCGTAGTTGCAATTAGCGGGATATTTGATCAAGGAAATATATCCCAAGAAATCTTGCGTCTTGTTTCCAAAATATCCTGCTATTTGGGAAATATATAGCAGGCTAATTTGCGCGCGTCGGAGCTAGTTTGTGATGAGCGTATCAGTCTGGTGAGATGCAATTTCGAGCTTCGGGATAATATCCCGAGTCTGAAAATAGTGGGTCATTTGGCAAACTCTAGCTGATGAGGACAGGCCTATTTACCTTGGTAGCTAGAAACCAATGCATTCCACTCTAACCAACTCTGATCCACTCCTAAGCACTAAACATTCCAACCAGTGGATGAAATATGACATGCATAAATAGGTATGATATCACATCTATTGATAAAACACTGTTCTGTATGCAATAAAGGATAAGTCACACAAGTATACCTTTAAAGGTAATTTCTATTTCTGGAATTGGAATGAAACTAGTTGAATATGTCCTCCTAATGTTCTACTCAAAGCAAATTTACCTAGGCCAGATATGTTGATGATCTATCCATGATTACTGGTGAAGTTTAATATGAATATTTGAAAAGAGGACATGTCAAGTTTAGGCTATAGTATAATTCATCTAATGTCTGTCCAGGATTTGCAGCACAACACAGAGATATGTAGAATATTGTGGTGGTCCTCAGTTTCTGTTTTACAAGTGTCAATTACAAGAGTGAAGTCAAGAGCATGGGCGAAGCACATAAATTATTTGTCACCTCTCATCTGTTCTTCATGAGGAGGAAACAAAACTTACACTTAACAGCAAATAAGAATTTTCAGTGTCTTGTTTTTTATCTAGTAAAATGAGAAAACATCTTGCAAAAGTCGTTTTTAGGCCCTTACCAAAACTGTATGTGGGCTTGGTGCAGTTAGAATTAGTGGAAAGGGCCTTCAATATAATATCCCACCTAAGAGGTAAACTATTGATACCAATAATGATTTGTCCCACCAGCTCAATTGCAAGGGGGCTGGGTTAGTTAGAGATATTATCAGAATGATCCTTTCTCAGACTCCAGAGTAACAGGTTTCTGTTTTGTGAGCTGTGTCATACCAGACATAGTTCAGTATGAAAAATAACCATTTCACGTATCTGAAATAAGTTAAAAAAATGCCTTAAAGTGTACCAATCATCAAAAAAATAATTTGTGCCCAGCTAGAATATAAAATCATTTAAACAAACTTCATCTCATATTCTATGGGATGATGGTTAAGGAATAAAAACAACATAAAGAATAACTTTAAATCCTGCATGGAGCTAATTCCGACTTGGGTTCTGTGTGGGCCCTATTTTAAAAGGATAGTTGAGTTTTGTTGCAGAGGGTACTATACAAAATAATTTTTTGGTGAGATAATGAAAACCTGAGTGTCAAATTTGAAGGAGCATACAATTTAAATGACAAAATCTTCTTTATTTGATCAAAATTGGTTGAGAGACAGCTGAAATATCCATAAATATAATGATTTCTAATATTTGTGGCACCCACAAATATTCAATAATTTGAACCAGCCTATGAAAAAACAAAATAGCATCTTATACGTTTTATTCCAGCCAATGCCGATGTTGGCTTTTTGTTGGCTTTTTCATGTTGGATATAATACACTCAACCAGCCGGCCCATGTATTGTTATTATTTATTAATCAATTAATTAATGGTCACCATATATTTTTGAAAGTGGAGCTGAATTATTATGATTGTATTGACTAAATTTCACACATTTTGGGGTCTAAAATTAGCTTCATAGCAATTTTATATCCTAAACGAGCATATAGAAATGTAATAAATAAGAATAAGAGCAATAACCGTGCACTTTGAAGGCATTTGAAAATTCCTTTTATGCTAATTTAAATTGTCTTTTAAACTTGCAATACTTCTTTATAGAAATATTTAAAACTCATATGTTAATTATACTGCATTGACATGGAGCCCCTAATATTCAAAAGAAACATTTTCTCGCTATTGAATAAAGTTAGACTTCACTTAAATCACTGGAGAAGAGTTTTATTTACTTGAAACAGATGGGTATAAAATGTTTGGATTGAGTAAATCAAGTAGATTTAAAGTTTTAGAAATTCCAATTTGATAATATCTATATTAAAACAGCTACCAGTATATTCTAACTGAGAATGTGAAGTCACAAGAGAATGTCTGGAAAAGATTGAAGTTGTAACAAGTTGTAGTTGACCACCTATAGCCGCGGTTGTGCCACATTCCAAGTATTTAGTATGCGGACACTTTACATGGAAACAGGTAATTCTCAGCAGAGGTCTGCTCTAACCTAAGCCCATTTCCTGACTTGCAATCATCATTAATTAACATCATATAAGTTTTATGAAAGTGCAAGGGGGGTAAAATAACAGATGTGGATGATGCATGTACCGGTATACACTGTAACATGTTGGACATAGCTAGAACAGAAAGTAAGTGAGGGGAAATTGGATGTTGATTTTCAATACGCATACGGTAATCAAAATCATATTCAAACAGCAGCATGAACCTCTTAAATCACATATATCATCATGAAGTACTTTCAAATGAAATCCATACCATCATAAGCATGATATCAATATAACCATGCTCCTAATCATCCATTTCCAGAGTGACATTATCTCCAAAAGTACATTTATTTTTCATAAAAGAATAATTTAGCTCATCCTTCATGTTCGTTTATCATAGACCAATGGCTAGGTAAATGGGAAAATAGAGAATGAAATGCATTATTGAAGTTTTTAAAATACATAGAATTAAGTGAAGAAAGATTATATGCCTTAAGTGGTTTAAATCTCATCTAATTCCTAGTGATGTTACCTATGATTGTAAAGTTACACATATCATATTTTTAAATCTCATTAAATACACATCTAACAATCAACTTTGATGCCCCATTTTAACAAATAGTTTTTTTCTTACAAATTTGGGAATGTTTTTACATGCATTTGTTCTTATGAAAATTATGATTATATTATTCAATGATTTCCAAGACTATTTTAAAAATGTACTACAAAGTTCCTTAAAAACATTCATTGTTTTGCTTTCAGTAAAATGCATCTCTATCAACAACACTTAATGTTCTCATTTAGACAGGTAGCTCATGTCTATTTGTGAAAAACAGGCTGATTAAAATGAAAGATTGATTGGAAATGTGTCAAATTACTAATGAGATTTATTTCAAGAACAAGATGACTAAAATACTAAAAATGGAGCAGTCAAAAACATGAAAAGGGGGACAAGTAAGGCATATCAGATGGGCTAATAATGTTACTTTGCTGTATCATCCACCACAAGACATAATCAAATCATCTTACATTTTGCCAAATTTGATCATTGTTCTCAAGGTGAGACAGCACAAAAACAAATATCTCTCTGTGTGTCTGATATTTCTCAAAAATTGATAAATTGATAGTTTGGTATTTGAAATGATACTTTATTCCTATTTTAGCAACTAATGAACATGCATACAAGTTCATAGAATTGATCCTATACTGTCTTTTTAAATAAAAAATGTGGTACCTCTTTTCAAAATGAAGAGGAATGGCAAACTCTACAGAGCAGTCAATAAAAGCGTGGTATATGTTATTCATGAACAGGGAATGAAGCAGTAAATAATCCCTCTGATACAAATAGTTAGGGCCTTTCAGAGATGGCCCTGCAGTACCCTCACTATAAGCATAAAAGCAAAAGATCTGTGATGGTTAATTCTACAGATTGATTACCTAGAGGGAATGTAAAATTACTTCCAATGTGTCAATTAGTATGACACATTTATTCTCTTACTACGAAACGATAACAAGTCGCCATAAATCTAGAGTATTTATATGTATGAAGCCAGACTGAACAACATAAATTTGATGCAAGAATCACCCCTTTAGTAAGCTAATGAGGGCAGTTTATAAATAGGCATATTGATGGTATGAATGTGGCTTATAGATCTGTCAACACACAATTAACACCCCCACCCCGCCCCACCCCAGCACACAGGCACTCACACTCCGGAGCCAAATGACCCCATAACTCCAGAGGGCAGCATAGAGTGTAATGTTATAGCAGGGATTGAACATATGAAGACCAATCTGCAAATTAGTTCATCACATGCAACTTTTTAAAGTTAAAATAGAAATAAAATTCAGTATATATTGGTGTTTTTATCTATGCTGATCCATAAAAACACATTTTTAGTTAAATGCATTTATTACTCATTTTTGCACACGTCTCACTGCGATAAAAAAAGATAAAAAATCACTTTAAAGTAAAAGCCATTTACAGAACTATGTCCTTTGTTTGTCTCGTCACATTTTGTTCCTCATCTATTTGACGCAATATGACTTTGTATATATATATTTTACTGCAGTAGAATTTCTTTATAATTTTCACTATTATGTATGTTAATAACTGTTGCGACTTTCTGATAACTGTGGACATGAATGAATCAAACTGAATTGACTGGTTTAGTAACATATTCAAATGTTATGCATAATTTTAAAACAAAGGTCATCCTTGACACCTTGAAAGCTTGCCCGTGGCTTGTCCGACATAGCAACATGTAATGTATGCAGAGTGAATTCCAAGTATTGTAGTCCTTCCATTTATAATAGATTACTGGAATAACTCATCACTAGGTCTCCAAAAAAGAAACATCCATAAATGTGAATATGTTAGGACACAGGTCTATTGGGCCCTTGTAAGTGGTGATAATGGGTCTCTAGTTGGCACGATAGAGTACCGAAGTGCTAACGGCTCTTCATCTTGGTTACTGGTTCCAAACAACAGAACCTGCGCATGAAGTTTACCCTGACATTATTCAAGCAATAGACTGGAGCAGTGTAAATTCAATGTTTGGTGCTGGTGTACCGGATCACCACGCCATTGTTTAGCACAAAATCGTTTGGAACCAGCAACCTTGACAACTTTGGCATAATGACATCACACTTCAGTACTTTATATAGGTTGTGATAATAGAAAGTTGTAGGTTATAAATAGCGATAGTGCTTACCCCCTCCACATGAAGCTGAACAAGTTGACCATCCTCTATTCTTCCAGATATTAGTCAGTGGATACAAGTACTGGTAATGAAGCTTCTCTCGTGTTCGTCTGCTGTCTGATAAAAACACCTGGAAAAAAAAATCAAATCATTCCTGTTTAAAACACTATACATTGCTATATCAATGCTAATTTTATTGGAGGAGCTCGCGCCTTTGAATGTTTTTTTTAACAGATATATGGCGCCATACAAATGCTGTTCATCATCATCATCATATCAGATTGCTAATGCCACATATTGAAAAACATGAAAGTTGAAGAAAAAATGAGAAGAAAATGGAGCTGATAGAAAGAAATATATAAATTTACTGCCCTTCGTTGTCGAGAAGAAATCAACACTGAAATGTCAATTTTGAATTTGTTTTCCCCATCTGTTCCCTCACATTTCCTCCTTCATAATCTTTACCACCATTTCAACTAACACAAAAGAAAAATTTGATATTATTTAACATGCTTACCATTAGAATCTAGCCACTATTTCAAAAGTACAAGAACATTAAAAGATTATAAAGTCATCAATTACTGATGTCTGTTTTAAACCTTTAAAGTGTACCAACCACCAGAAAACATATTGCTCTGTATGGTAGGAGTTCCATGTTGTTATATTTTTTGATAAAAAATATGAGCTTCAAGTAGAGGTGTCGCGGTCGAGTGGATATGTCACTGGACTGTGGACCATAAGGTTTGCAGTTCAAGTCCTGCCACAGCAATAATCTCCTTTGGCAAGACAGTAATCTAGATTTACCACTCTCCACCCAGGTGTTAAATGGGTACTCGGTAGGATGCGAAAGTTAATGTGGTTAGATGAGCAAGTGCCAGGCCAAGATGAGATTTAAGTTGAGTTTAAATACCATCTACCTGAACACCACTTAAGTTTGTAGGTAATTGGTGTACTTTAAGCATTGAACATCAACGTCTGAAAGATATGATTTTGATTACGTGGGTCAGTAGGAAGACCGTATAGCTGACCAGTAGATCTCATCCCTGCAAACAAATCTTTTATATCTCTATATCGCCTAGTTCACTCCCATTTCTTCCATGTCGCCTTCACACATTTTACTTCTTCAGATTTCTTTTATTTTGTCCATTTAGTTTTCTGGTGGCCTTCATGTCCACCTACAGCTTCTGTTCACATAATGGATTCCTATTGCATGTATCAAGAAAATGGATTCCCTGGAGCGCAGAGATCATATCCCCCATTAATGCAAAGTTGAATACGTGTCACCACTTATGCACGTATTTCCTTTTATTTTTAACGGTATATGCTCAAAAGTGTTTAATACTGTCAATTATACTGCTTTGGAAGAATACAAGCAATTTATTTCATTTATGAATTATAACATTTTTCTAAGAATTGGCATTATATTCCTGCACATTTAAAGTCTCCAGTTGTCTACGAATCCTAGCCTTGTGATGTCACTTCACACAGAGCTACTGGGATTGTTTCCCCTCTTGAGTTTCAGAAGATTTCACACTACAACTGTACTACAAAATGTTCTTACCTACCTAGAAAATCTTCATTGTAGGAGTTAATGTATGACAAAGGGTGGTATAGTCATGGATTGTGGTCCTATTTACGTTGCATCTTATAAAACGTATTCTGAGATCTTCTCAAACATGAGTGTAGTGTGAACAAGTCTAGATGTAATTGAGAAAGGGAGAGGAAGTTGGCACTGCTCCGATCTCATATAGGAGGCTTACTGACAGACCGCCATGTAACGAGTGACTAACTACGTGCAAGAATTTGACCAAAACATGACCAAATTCAAATGAAAATCCATGACTCCTGGTTCAAGGGTAGAAACTAGTTCAGAGGATTGACATATGCCTGCAACATTTTAATGAAAAAACACAGTTTGAATAAATTCAGGGAGGTATAGTCAGCAATATCTACAAAGGTATCTTAACTAAATGACTATCAAATCTGAGACAAGAAGCCTGATTAGAATTATTTGTAGCCATTTCTAGAGTCAAAATGTGAAAACAAGCAATAAAACATAGACACCATAGGGAATATTATATCTCTTCGTGGATCTACAAACAATTCTCTCCATATTAGGTTTCATACCATGCACATGGGATTTAAACATATCCCATGCAAAGGGGAAATCTCATAAAATGATGAAGAGATAACGCTGTAATGTTATGAGGACATCACTCATTACAAGAACAATCAGTCACAGGAAATCCCACTGCAAGAAGCGCTGTCACTGCATGGGAGGGTGGACATTATACATGCAGCCACACTATTTTCTTTTTTCTCAACTTCAGAAAACTCTTTACATCATGTATTTCAAACCTTTTGAAACATTTGAGATCCAATACTGAAATCCAAACTTTTGGATGCAAAAAGTAAATGTATTAGAAAATGAAGATTAATTAAACTTCATGACTGATTCTTCAGATGACTGTGCAAACATAATTTTAATTCACTGAAATTATGCTGTATCCAACAAATTGTGATTACAACTAAGGTGTCTTTCAAACGCAATAACCAGCATCTTTAAGTATATATACATCTATAAGATCATGTATTGATTAAAGTCCAACAGATGTCTGCTTCTAATCTCTTCTCACTTCATATCCTAGAGAATTTACTTGTTTGTGCCTGACAAAACTTTTATTGACCCAAAACTGTATCTTAACTGCGATGAGAAAGGATCAAATCTCTATCATTCTGTCTCCCTCTCCAAAATAATGTGCTATTAAAGATAGCCAAGCAATATCAGGGACTTGAGGGATTGATGAAGTTCACAAAAGAGGAGGAGCCTACCTCTCTCTCTCAATATGTTGTGTTTTAGTTCAGAAACATTATTGTTTATGCACCTAACACATACACTGAGATATGCCCACTGTTTAGTTTTCGAGCGATTGACACAGAGATATCAGTGATGTCTCTTCAGATAAGTCAAATTTATTTCCCAATTGCTAAATTTTCTAATTTGCAATTGTTAATGGTTTTGAGCCATTTCAGCCATATATCATGTGATAAAGGGTATTATAGACTAGTGCCAGAAAGCACAGCCAATGGGGTCAAGCTGGACACAAAGAATTTGGTTATTGAGTTATGATACACTACTGATTCCATAGATTCTACCTGTGTACCCATTCTCCAAACATTACCTGAAGATCTGTCAACTTAAAACAACTGCTACAAACCGGCACTGCAGATTGGAGTCTGCTTAACAAGTCAAATACAGAGCTTGCACTCAAACAGGAAACACATGTAATAGTTTCGAGGGAGAATTGTGTGATGTACATGATCCATATTTCGTCCTTGTTTTCACGAAGTGACGGTAGTGAGGAAATTCGTCACGCAAAGTGAATGCAATTTTTTTTCACTACCGTCACTTCGTGAAAACAGCGACGATTTGTGTGCACATTTTTCTCTCATCACTTTCACAGTTGCTATTTTCACACCCTCCTAGTCAGTAAAAAGTTCCAGATTTTGTCTAGGTACTGGCTAGTAAGAACGATCTATAAAGCAGCTTGGGGTTTAGATCAAGGTGCCATGGTCTGGTGGATACGTCATCAAACTATGGATTACAATTTCATGGTTAATGGTTCAAGTCTAGCTGCCTTTGGCAAGATATGAATCTACATTTGCCACTCTCCATTCAGGGATGGATATGTATGCGATGTGATATAAGTGTAGTTATTGTTATTATGATTATTGTTTCTTTATAATTATCATTATCATTCATATTAGTAGTAGTAATAGTAGTATTAGTATTAGTATTAGTAGCGGTATTAGGAGTATTGGTAGTGGTAGTAATGTAGTAGTAGTAGTAGTAGTAGTAGTAGTAGTAGTAGTAGTAGTAGTAGTAGTAGAAGT